AAATTATAAGAAAATGATAACTGGATTATAAAACTAAAATTATAATTTTTAAAAAATAAATAAATCCAAATTACCCCTAAACTATATTCTAAAATTTATGAAATTTTTGTATTATTATTATTATAATTATAGAAATAAAAAATGATTGAAACCCACAAAATTATTGCCAAATCATGTATAATGGAAGAGAGAGTATAATTAAAAATAATAATAATATAAAAAAAAATTAAGGCGCGTGGATGAGTACGAACGAACCATACCAGTTTATAAAAACCGAACCGGGTTTGGGATTAAACGTGCAGCCTCTTCTCCTGTAAATGCGCGTACCATCCACTCGTTTGGAGCATCTCTCTCACTTTCTCTCTCTAGATTGTTGTTGCTCTCTCTACTCTCTCTGTATGTGTGCGCCTTTGTATGTCTTTTTCTCAATCTAACCCTCTGCCTCATCATCCCTCTCTTCCTTCTCCGCCGGCGCCTTCTTCTCGCTCCTTAAATTCTCCGCTTCCTCTTCCCCAAATCGCCGCATGAATTTCGATCCAACTCTCAGGTTCTGTCTTCTACTTCTTTTCTCTAAATCCTTCTTACTTCCTTCCTCTGTTTCTCTTTTTCAATCATTCATTCATTGCTTCTTGTTTCTCTTATTACCTTCTTTGAACTTCTGTCTATCTTCTTTGTGTTTGTTTGTTTCACCGGAATTGAGATTCTTTGTTCGTTCTTTGATTTGGGTTTATTTTATTTTTCCCCTGTTTTGTGTTGCTGGAAGTATGGAGGGCGTTGGGGTTTTAGCTTACGAGGAAGTTCCTGTCTGTTTCTGATGTTTTTTGTTTTTTATTTTTTTCTGAATTCGTGTGCCCTTCAACTGAAGTGGTTTGAATTTGATCTGGGGTTTGGTTTTTCCGTCTCTCTGGTCTTGAATTTCACATGCGTAAGATTGTTTTTTCTGCTGATTTATGTCTGGGATTTGTGAATTTTGTTGTGAAGCTCGGGATGCACTTCAACTAATCATGGGATGTTTTTCCTCTTCGTGATTGAGCTGCCTTTTATATGAAATGTCGACGAATCTACTCCTTTGGTCTCACTGTTGACGTGTCCTCGAGCGAGTTTATGTGTTTGAATTAAAGTGTAATGGAACAAGTGGGTTTTATTTGATTTTCTCTATTAGATTTTTGGAATCTGATTTGGGATTTTGTTTTTTCCCCTCTCTGGTCATTTCTGTCTGTCTTTTTTTTCAATTTGTCATGCATAGGAATGCCTTTTAAATTATGTTTCTGAAGCTCTTGATACAGTTTAATTAATCGCTGACCTTTTTTCTTTCATTAGTGATTGAGCTAACTTTATTTGAAATGTTGGCAAATCATTTCTTTTGATCTCACTGTTTCTTTTCTCCACCCTATCTTGTGAAGAAGAAAATGATATTCATGTCTGAAATTAAGTATCAAGATGTTCTTGATTATGGCTTACATCTGAAGAAGATTATCTGTCTCATTCATGTACAACACTATGTCAATCAAATGGTCGGTATATTAATTATGGCTCGTTGGCTGGGTGTTTGGTTCATTAATTTGCTTGTATTTGTAAGGTACTTCCGAGGATCCTTCTGCATGTATTTACTGTTCACTTATCAGTCTACTGTACTCCTTTTGATTTATTAGAAAATTTTGCTTATGACCAGTTGGGTTGTTTTTCATTGAGATAATAGCAATAGATAGAGCTGTGGAGTTTATTTAACATTCGGTATTAGCTTGTTTTTCATTTCCTGGCACGCCCCGTATAAACGATTTCATCTTGTGGTTGATCCTTTTTATCCCAAAAGGATTCAAGAAAGATTGTGCTGCTACATAAATTTTTTCTTTGGTTGATCCTAATATATACACTATTTGCTTGCTTTTGATATCCTCCGATTAGACGTAGGCATGCAAATATCTTTTGTCAGATTTGTCAAGAACCCATACATTACCAATGACTCTACAAATTGAAATGGTTGTTTATACCTTAATATTTCTCTGTCTTTGACATTATTCTGTTGTGTCCTTTTTGTTTCCCCTGTTGACTATGATGAACGATCGAGTAGGGGCTACGTTTTGAGAGAAATCTGTTATCTTTAGTAATATGATTCGTTTTTACTACTTTAATTATGCTTTGAATTGTTGTTGTTACAGGTTGTTTGATTACCAGTACGCCTCTTTTGAAGTTAGTTTGGTTGGATTCATCAGTATTTGGTGCATCTAATACGCTAAAGGGCGTATTGAATTTTAAAAGATGGACCGGTGTGACACTTCGGGATTTGTTAGTGGGGGCGGGATCTTCTTTTTCAGAAACCATTGATTCTAGTTTCTTAGCTTCTTCTTTGTTTTTTCAACATAAAAGAAATAAAATAAAACTAGTTCCATAGCTTTTACTTTTTAAATCCCGGAAGTCAGGCAGGCTGGTCTATTGCTATTAGAAGTCTTGGTACCAATATTTTAACTAAATTCAATGGGCTCAAACTTTCAGAACTTGAATTTTTCTGCCAATTATTCCTTGAATGTGCTAAATATTTTGGGAAAGTCTTTCCAAGATGGGAAAATTGGATCTGGAGACAGTGCAGATACCGTTCTGCGACTTGATTCTACTGGATCTTCAGTCCCTTTTCGGTCCATACCAAAGGGAATGAAGCGGAAGTGGAGTTCGATTGAGAAATCCATGGGTTGTCAGTCAGTTGGGTCTTCTTTGTCTCTTGGCCGATTCGTTCATTCCTCAAGTTCTTCTGACAGTAAAGGAAGTTCAGCAACCGCATGCACCAGAGTGTCTTCTGCTAAAGAAACTGATGAGGAATCCTCAATGGCACTTGATCTGGATTTTTCTCTCAATCTTGGTAATGATAAGGTAGCTAGCCCAAAAGAACCAGCCAATAAGTCGCTTAAAGTACAGACGGTTAAACCGAAGGTTGACTTGGAATTAAGTCTCTCTACTGGCCCATCTGAATCTGATGTCACTTCAATTTATCAGGGTTTTCCTTCATTTCAGTTGTCAATGGAGAAGCCATTTCCATTTGTAGAAACCTTAAACACAGATGATGGAGAAACATCAGGTTGTTGGAAGCCAGTAACTGCCCAACCAGTCGCACCTCCCTCGTTGAATCCTCAGGTTGGCTACATTTTTCACTCGGTTACTGAGAAAGTGGTTCCACCTGTCAATGTTCCAGACCTTTCCTCGAGCATTTTAACCATGCCAAAAAGCTCAGTCACCTGTACTTCCGGGATAACACAACAGCAGCAAGTACGCTTTAATCGTAGTAGTAATTCCAAGATATGTCAAGTTGAGGGATGTGGCAAGGGAGCTAGAGGTGCTTCTGGCCGTTGCATATCACATGGTGGTGGTCGAAGGTGTCAGAAACCTGGATGCCACAAAGGAGCTGAGGGTCGCACTGTATACTGCAAGGCCCATGGAGGTGGACGGCGATGTCAACACTTGGGTTGCACCAAGAGTGCAGAAGGACGCACAGACCATTGCATTGCCCATGGTGGGGGTCGAAGATGCAACCGTGAAGGATGCACTCGAGCAGCAAGAGGGAAATCAGGATTATGCATTCGTCATGGTGGTGGTAAGAGATGTCAAAAGGAGAACTGTACCAAGAGTGCAGAAGGCCTCTCTGGTCTTTGTATCTCTCATGGTGGTGGTAGGCGATGCCAAATGCCTGGGTGCACCAAAGGGGCACAAGGGAGTACCATGTACTGCAAGGCCCATGGTGGAGGAAAAAGGTGCACAGCTCCTGGTTGTACCAAAGGTGCTGAAGGAAGCACCCCATTTTGCAAGGGCCATGGTGGTGGAAAAAGATGTGGCTTCCAAGGAGGCGGCATTTGTTCAAAGAGTGTCCATGGTGGTACCAACTTCTGTGTGGCACATGGTGGGGGCAAGAGATGTGCTGTTCCCGAGTGCACGAAAAGTGCTAGGGGAAGGACCGACTATTGTGTGCGTCATGGTGGGGGAAAGAGATGCAAATTCGAAGGGTGTGGCAAGAGTGCACAAGGAAGCACAGATTTCTGCAAGGCTCATGGTGGAGGAAAGAGATGTTCTTGGGGTCATCCTGGGTCTGAGTATGGCACCCAACCCTGTTGCCCATGCAATTCATTCGCCAGGGGGAAGATGGGTCTCTGTGCACTTCATAGCGGTCTGGTGCAAGATAAGAGGGTTCATGGGGGTGTCTCACTTGGACCTAACACTCAGCAGCCTAATCTCAGCAAGACAGAGAAGATGAAAGACGTTGTTATGGAAGATTACATGAATGAAGATCTCATCATGGTACGAGGCAAAATGGGTCCAAATCTCGGAAAATATGCAGTCAGTGAAGCCGAAAAGCCATCAAAGTCAGTTCTTGTTCCCGAAGGTAGGGTGCACGGTGGAAGCTTGTTGGCAATGCTTGCTTGCAGCTCAGGGCTGGGCTCAAGCAGTAAAAACGCAGCTTCTGGTCAAGAGCAGCCAATGGAACATCACACATTGCCTCGTAGTTGGGTGTAAAGCAGCAATCTCAGCCTTCCTTATATGTCCATCTGGTGTTTAGGAGCATGGTCAGTCGGTAATGTTGGTCTCCTTCTCCTTATTTAGTATCTGTCAAATATAAAGCTTGTTATTTATTGGTCTAAATAGAAACACTTCTTAAGAGTGCTCTATATTGTGAAGGCAAATTCTACAGTATTGGGTTGTTGATTTGTTCTTTCTTGTATATATTCTTAGATAACGTATGTCGAACAGGCTATGAACACAGTTCAACAACCTGTAGGTTTGTTAATGTTGCCCTTCTGGTCATGGATAACCCCTTTTACTGTGTTCATCTTTTTATTCCTACTTTCCTACCTTTTCTTCTTTTGTTCATTACTCTTTCTTGCATTTTGTGGAAGGAAAACTTAGGGTCCTAAAGGATTATGCCTTTACAAATTAGAAGGGAATTAGAAGGAAAGGAAGAAGGGGTAACAACTTTCCATTGATGGAGACCACATGGCTAACGTTACATATCAAGAACTTCAGCTAATGATATTATCTTTGAACTTGGCCATCTTAGAAAGCTCATCCACGGTTTCGACCAAATAGTCGAGCCTAGCCACGAACTCGATGAGCAAGGAAGTAAAGTTAGCCAGTGACATGGCTGCAGTACTCTCTTGCTTCCTCATCCTCTGCAAAAACTCGACAGGAACACCCCCACCATCGTCGAAAACATCCATTTCCCTCAATGGCCATGAATGCTGCCTTCTCGACTGCTTCCTCACTAACTCAACGTAAGCCTCTGCTTGAGTCCCTGCAGCCACACCATGACTATTCTGCTGGATTAAACTCCTCTCCGGGCCATTGCCGTTGAGCTCGGCTAACAAGCTTGGAAGATCATAGAGGCTGTTCGACGGGGCAGTCGAGAGCTTGGACTGAAGCTTGGAAGAGAGGTCTAGGGAGTCACAAGTGGGAGTGAGGGGATAAGAGTGAGTGTGAAGGGCTTGTTGCAGCTTGTCTGCTGCAGTATGAACATTCTTTAGGAGATATATTTTGAGGGATTGTTGCATGTTGTTGATGTCTTTGCCCAAACCTCTCAACAGCTCCGCTGCTTGGTTTGCTGTTTCTTGGATCTCGGATTTGAATGTGATTCTGAGCTTATATGGAGCCTACAAAAGTTTGGTCACAAATTTTTAATTTTGTAAATTATGTTTGAGATTCAACATCGGTCAGAGAATGAAACATTCCTTATAAGGGTGTAAAAACCTCTCCTTAGCAGACACATTTTAAAACCGTGAGGTTGATGACGATACGTAGTAGACCAAAATGGACAATATCCGTTAGCGGTGGACTTTGACTGTTACAAATGGTATGTGTCAACGAGGACACTGACCCTCAAAGAAGGTGGATTGTGAGATTCCACGTCGCTCTTTTTCCTTCTAAATTTCATACTAAAAACACCGACAAGACTTGGAACAAAAGATGAAGCTGAGAGGATCAATATGATCACCTGGATTCGAGAGTGAAGAACACCATGAAGAGCCATAATTTCATAAGCACAATATCTCAAAACAGCTCCAACTTTAACATACTCCCCCCATGGATAAAAGAAGTGCCCGAATCTGCCGTGTGGCGGCTCCCATTTCGCGGATGTCGCCTAAAAAATGGTCATTTCCATTGGATTAGAAATTAAGAATCATAGTGTTCATAAGAAGAAAAAGGGTAAATTTTAGCGTACCAAAGCCTCAAACTTTGCAGAGGAGTTCAAGGTGGCTTTGCACTTCTTATAAGCTGGTTCGTCTGGAAATTCATCCATTACAGCCTTGGGAAGCTGTTGCCCAATGTTTGATCCCTCGTCCTCTAAATACTTGTTCACACATTCTGCCAAATTTGTAACATTGTTTTTGAAGTAAATGGGAGAATGTTAAAAGTTGAACCAAAAGTTCGAACCTTGGAGGGAATCAGCGAGGGAGTTGAAGGTGGCGACGAGGTCCTTGTGCAGCTGCTCGCCAGCCCAGATGGGGAAAACGAGGACGTTCACTAACACTGCAACGAATCCTCCGATGGCGATGGAGTAGAGGCGATCCATGGCAGTTCTCAGTGGGTTCCCCATTCGATAACCAGAAACAACTATCAAGCAGTATGTGAAAAGTATAACTCTGAACCCATACTCGTATGGAACTAGCGATGGCCATAGCTTCATGAATGATGTCACACTTCCTGTTCAACACACTTTCACATTACTTTAACTTTCTGTTAACTTATTGTGAGATTCTTTCGTCCATTATGGAATAGAACGAAACACCCTTTACTGGAGTGTGGAAAACTCTCCTTAACCCACGCGTTTTAAGGAGGCCTAAGGGAAAGTCCAAAAAGGAAAATATTTACCGGTGGTGGGGTTGAGCTGGTACAAATGGTATCAGAGTTAGACACTGGGCGATGTATCAGTGAGGAGGCTAAGCCCTGAAGGAGGTGGACATGAGGCAATGTGCAAGCAAGGACGCTGGGCGTGAAGGGGGTGGATTTGGATGGATCCCACACCTATTGGAGAAAGTAACGAATGTCGGTGAGGACACTGAGCCTCAAATGGGAGTGGATTGTGAAATCCCACAGACACAGGGCGATGTGTCAGCGAGGAGGCTAAGCCCTGAAGGGGTGGACATGAGGCGATGTGCCAGCGAGGAGGCTAAGCCTTGAAGGGGGTGGCATGAGGCGATGTACCAGCAAGGACGTTGAGCCCCGAAGGGGGTAGATTTGGATGGGATCTACATCGATTGGAGAAAGTAACAAGTATCGGCGAGGATGCTAGCCCCGAAGGGAGTGAATTGTGAGATCCCACAGACATAGGGTGATGTGTCAGCGAGGAGGCTAAGCCCTGAAGGGGGTGGCATGAGGCGATGTGCTAGTAAAGACGTTGAGCCCCAAAGGAGGTAGATTTGGATGGAATCTACATCGATTGGAGAAAGTAATGAGTGTCGGCGAGGATGCTGGGTCCCGAAAGAGAGTGAATTGTGAGATCCCACATCGATTGAGGAAGAGAACGAAACACTCTTTGTAAACATGTGGAAACCTTTACTTAACTGACACGTTTTTAAAACTTTGAGAGGAAGCCCGAAAGGAAAAATTCAGAAAAAACAATTATCTGCTAGCGGTGGGCTTAGGTAGACCGTTACACTTATAATTTAAACATTAAAGACGTAAACTTTGGTGAGAAAGTTACCAACTAGGAAAATGCTAATGCCAATGATAATGGGTTCTGCAATAGGGCCTGTGCGTAGAGCAAGTTGGGCAACAGCAATGGCCAAGATTCCAGCAAGCAAGCTTCCGAGCGCCCTATTGAAACCACGGTTGAAAGTTGCTCCTTTTGACAACAAAACCCCAAAAAACTTCATTACCATTATAACATAATATGCATTAAAATCATCAAAAGACAAAACGTGGGGTTTATGGATTGCTACAAACCAACGGTATATTCGAACATGATGGCTACAGTGATGATAGCCCAAATGATATTAGTACCAAACACATCGTAAGGTGCTCGAAAAAGTATAAGCAAAGACACTAAAACAACAGCCAACCCAACTTTCAATGAGAATAAAACTCGGTTGCTGTCTTCTTTGCAAAACCCCAAAACACTCCCTATTGAAGCTTTACATGAAGCTGCCAAGTTTTCAGCTTTCGCCCCTATAGGTTCGGGTTTTGTCGAGAAATCGATGTCTATAACGGTATTGCCTGTTTTTCCATTCATTCTCGACGTTTAGCAATGACAGTAGTCTTTTCTTAATGCAATATCAAGTTTGGAGCGTTTGTAAGGAAATTTAAAGGGCATGAGAAAGTGGGAAGACAAGTTATTGTTTGTGATGGCATGTAGAGGAAGATTGTATGTTTTGTCAGAAAAAGGATATTGATTTATAAGAGAGAATAATAATAATAATAATAATAATAATAATAATAATTATTATTATTATTGAAGGGGGAAATTGGAGAAGTAATGCATATGAGATGATAAGAAGATGCCTAAAAACTCAATAATGCTGCAAATATGGAGAATTAGAATCTAAGTTTTCATGCTATATTATTGCATGTGCATGGCTTCACAATTAATCTCTGTTTTTACTGGATCAACCAATGAGGACAATGGGAGAGTGACCAAAAATCTTGCAGACGAGCCTTTTATTTATTAGAAATGATAACTGTAACAATTTAAGTCTACCATTAGCTAATATTGTCTATTTTGACTCCTTACGTATTACTGTCAACCTCATAGTTTTATACCTTTATAAAGAATTTTGTTCACTTCTCCAATCGACGTAGAATAGCCTAGATCCATTCCCTCGACTCATCTTTCCCTCGCAATGACAGAATTTATTCTATTCACTTCTTGCAAGTTCTCATCAAAGATGAGGAAGATGAGACAGTGATGTCATGCTGGTTGGTGGAGGAAAGGGTATAATGTAATGAAATTTTGTCATGTCGAAGTCTAAAACGCTTAATTTTGTAAATGAATATGATTACGATTTTATACTCTTTTAAAAGTCGAGAAACAAAACACGTAATTTAACCTAGCTATTGGTATGTAGGCAGCTAGGGATGCATGGGAATACTTATTGACAAACACCATTCTCCCCTCCATTCAATATTGATCATCTTATTCCCAAAGAATATAAAGAATAGAACAAGTACGCCACAATAATACATAAAAAAAAGAATAGCCACCAAACTAATCTCTTTCACATCAGCATGATGTAATATTCGAAGCCTATTGCTATCAGATATTGTTTGTTTTGGATCCCATTTCTACATAAATACAAAATCTTTGAGTTTATGTTCGTTTTATGCTTTGGATTTTTATCCTTTTCTTTCGTATCTTTGAGAATGGATGCTTTTGGGATATTTTGTTTTGAGAGAGAAATTAGGGATAGAAGGGGTTTCACAAGTCTAGCTCAAAATCTTCGTTGAAACTGTTCTTGATTACCTTAATACATGAACATTATGTAGAGTTCAGTGGAATATATTCTTTGAACTGAGGGACATATATTCTATATGCTCATCAATATCAATTTTATTTAGGTTAAAAGCAAGACTATGTATAAAATTCCAAAACTTGGCATATATTCGGGTAAATTATTAACGTGCTCTACCTCACGTGTAAATTCTCAAATGTGAGGCTATTAGGCTATGATAGCAAATGAGGAAGAAGCTTGCTTTTCATTCGATAATCGCCTTCTAAGTAATAAATCGAGGTTTGACTCTCGGCAAACGCATTACTTTTGCAAAATAATTCTTTTTTTTTTCTCCTATTTTTTTGGCAAATGTATTACATCAGCTTTGCTTCCAACAATGTTTGTAGTCCAATGGTTAGGATAATTGCCTTCCAAGCAATAGACCCGGATTTGACTACTGACTAACGCATTACTCTTGCAATATAATTCCTTTTTTTTTTCTCCTATATATATATATATATATTATGTTAAAGCTCGACAAATGCATAACATCAGCTTAGCTTCCAATAGTGTTTGTAGTCCAACGGTTAGGATAATTGCTTTCCAAGCAATAGATTTGGGTTCCACTCCTCGTAAACACATTACATTTGCAAAATAAATAATTCATTTTTTTTCTCCTTTTTTTTTTTTTTTGATAAAGTTCGGGAAATGCATTACATCAGCTTGGCTTCCAATAGTGTTTGAAATCCAACAGTTAGGATAATTGCCTTCCAAGCAATAGACCCGAGTTAGACTCCCGACAAAACGCATTACATTTGCAAAATAATTCCTTTTTCTTTTCGTCCTATTTTTTTTTTGTTAAAGCTCGGCAAATGTATTACATAAGCTTGGCTTCCAACAGCGTTTGTAGTCCAACGGTTAGGATAATTGCCTTCCAAGCAATAGTCTTGGGTTTGACTCCTAGCAAACGCATTACATTTGCAAAATAATTCTTTTTTTTTTCCTCTTTTTTTTTTGTTTTTGTTAAAGCTCGGCAAACGCATTACATCAACTTGGCTTCCAACGGCGTTTGTAGTCCAACGGTTAGGATAATTGCCTTCCAAGCAATAGACCCGGGTTCAACTCTCGGCAAACGCAATACTTTTGCAAAATAATTCCTTTTTTTTTTCCTCTTTTTTTTTTTTTTTTTTTTTTG